GATTTAGGCTTTGGCATGGGTCCTTGAGCAGGTGCATTGGAACTCGGTTGAGAATAATTTTTAAACATTTTTGAAACGACAAAACCCTTCTTGAAATGATGAACAACCTGACGAGGAGGTGATGAGCCTAAGATGCCATGATGAGATTGATGACGTACCTGAACAAAAGCAGAATTTGAAGCTTTTTCTCCCTCCTTCGTGAAGGCACCCGCAATCGCCCCTCGCTCTCCCATTCTTTTTTGATGTATTTCTTTTCTTTGTATCTATTTCAGTTTGAAACAGTGTTTTTTTTTTTACAGACAAGAAATTGTTGTAGATGAAGTTAAAGATACGTGAGGAGGCACTGATTATTGTCTTTTCTTTGAATTTTCTTTTTAGTTAAGGGAGTTTTGGAGAGAGGAGGCACTGATTATTGGCTTTCTTGGAGTTAATTTTGAAGCATACATGCAAATGTTGATGATGTTATTTCTTTACATGAATAATGCTGAACCCATGTTCCGTAATACTGAAAAAATATGCATCTTATTATCCTATGCTCTTATGCATAGGTCTGTTCCGTTTTGAAGACACTGACCAGTAAAACCAATTTTATCTTGGAAAGCTCTTCATTAATGAAATAAATTAAGGATGAATGACATCTTGATAGATGAGAATGTCACAGGAAATTTATTACAAGGACCATTTTTTTTTTGTTTTGTTTTGTTTTTTACAACACTTGTTGAAATTGGCCCTATCAATTTGTTGTGAAAGTATTTTGCTTAATTATAGTCTTGTCATTTGCAATTTCTTTAATTTTTTTCTTGTCTTTTTTCTCTATTAATTTGAACAATGACAGAAATTTCTTCACGCATATTGGACATCCTGTTGGAGAATGGAAACTTGTTGTCACTCTTTTATTTCTTGATAAGAGTTAATGGTTCACACAATTAAAAAGGAGAGGGAAAGTACATCAATGGAAATTAATAGCTTGATATGATGTCAATTATTATTATTATATATATGAGAATTTAGAAAGTCTAAAACCATGTCAGTCATTTATTTTTGAGTTGGTGTTATATATTCTGCCGCAAATAACCAAATGTCTAAAATCAGGTCATTGAGTTTGGGAGTATACATTTGCATCAAGTGCTCAGGTGTTCACAGAAGTCTTGGAGTTCATATATTAAAGGTATTGACTGAACAGTAAGCTTTTTGGGCTTCAATTACTAATTTTATTGATCAATTATGATATAATGTTGATTATCTAGCCCAACAGAGATTTGCTTATTGATGAATGTACTCTGATATATCTTAAGCGAGATATTAACTTAAAATTAGAATTTTTATAGCCATATATAATCTACTGAGATGTAGTGCAATACTATGAGCATGTACGACAATGTTGCGTTATTTGTTTTCATGTTCTCTATGCCCCAATGACAAACAATTTACGCCATTTCCTTAAACAAGGACAGGAGAGGAATAATTAAGAATATAGGGGTAATCTCAAGTTTTTGGTAGAAGGTTTTGCATACTACTTTACGGCATGATCTCTTCAATCTTAAGCGTGATCATAAGTTTATTACATATGTTCATAGTGGAAACAATTTTCATAGTGGAAACAATTTTCAACTTCACACAAGTTCCAGCTTACCATCTTAATTCACTCATTCTAGTCTTTTTCCATGATTAATTAATTAAGATGGTTCATAGTGGAAACAATTTCAACTTCACACAAGTTCCTACTTCTCATGTTATAGTTTCCTCTCTATTTGCTTAAGCATAGTTCCTTTTCCCTTGTTCTCAGCTTGATATTCAAGTTTTTATTTTCATATGTTCGGGATTTCTTGATGTTTACTAGAATAAATAAAGCCAAAAAGTGGTTTGATGGAGCATAAGCATGGTCCACAATGTGGAAAAATTTTGAAGTCACAGAATGTATCTAATTCGCTCTAAATTGTTCGAATCTCAAGGCTAATGCCCTTTGGACCTTCACAAAATCATTAGCCTTTTGGACCTTCACAAAATCATAAGTGTATGTGAATCATGCTTATATAACGCAAATTTGGCCTCATTTTTAATTATTACTCATGTTTAGTTATTACTAGGCATACTTTTAAATTTAGGAATATATCATATTCTTAAAAATAATGCCACCTTCTTTTTTATCTTGCAGGTTCATGTGTTTCTTTGAGCTTCTCTGGAGAAAATGGACTTGGATATCGGTTTGTAAACCGTCATGGTATTACTTTGTTGACATTGTGAGTTGATTCAGTTGTGCGGCAAATTTATAAGTGTATGTGTGGCAAATTTATAAGTTGACATTGTGTTACTTTGTTGTGTGAAAAAACAAAGTATATATGTGGTTGGTATCATGTTGGTGTGTGATTTATTTATGAAAAAACATGTGTTACTTTGTTGTGTGATTTATTTAACTTGTTTTGTGGATAATTATCATGTTGGTGTGGTTGGTTAATTTGTAAGCTGGATTTACAGGGTTATTTGAGCGAATTTATAGATTTGTAAGCTGGATTTATAGATTTGTAAGCTGGAAAACTGCACACAATATCCCAGACGGATTTTTTATATCCCAGACGGATTTTTTACATCCCAGACGGAAATACCCGTCTGGGTTGTAAATTCGTCATGTATAGGATTCCGTCTGGTATAACAATCCCAGACGGAAATTTCCGTCTGGGATAATTATCCCAGACGGAATAAATTTCTGTCTAGCATAACTATCCAAGACGGAAATTTCCGTCTGAGATAATTATTATCCCAGACGGAAACTTCCGTCTGAGATAATTATTATCCTAGACGAAATTTTCCGTCTGGGATTGTTATCACAGACGAAAATTTCCATCTGGGCTAATAATTATTTCAGACGGAAATTTTCGTCTGGGATAGTTATGCTAGATGGAAATAATCCGTCTGTAATGTATTCTAGACGGTTTTTTTTTCCGTCTACTAAAATCCGTCTAGAATACATTACAGACGGAATTTCCGTCTAGAATAATGTATTCTAGATTTCCGTCTACTAAAATCCGTCTAGAATACATTACAGACGGAATTTCCGTCTAGAATAATGTATTCTAGACGGAAACAAATTAGACTCGTATTCCAGAACATTACAGACGGAATTTCCGTCTAGAATAATGTATTCTAGACGGAAACAAATTAGACTCGTATTCCAGATGAAATTCCGTCTGGAATATGTTTTCTAGACGGAATTCTAATTATTCCAGACGAAATTTTCCGTCTGGAATATGTCATTTTGTACCAGTGTATAGTATTGTGGGGCCAAAAAAGCATTGGGTAAATATTTATTTAGTGGGTTATTTGTCATTGTTAGCTGCTTACAAAGCTGCCATGCAACTTGTCTACAACCGTCTGAAGGGACTCAAAATATTAAATAAGTTGAGCCGCATATTAACTTTGGAAAATAAAATGCCTTGGTTTAGAAAATGAACAGGTGGGATTTAGGATAGATGCTTTGCAGTTTGGCTGCTATAACAATGAATCAGATTTGTCAAAAGCAAGTATGGCAGTTAGTTAAATGTTGCTTAACGCTTGTATGTGTCACATCATAGCAACGGCATACGAAAATGAATGGCCAACTTTCTTGTTTAAGCACACTTTTTGCCAAGTTCATTAACGAGAACTATGAATGCTCTTTAAAAAAAATCAAGTAATCTAGAATTGAACTTATTTTTCCTCGAAAGTAATAGAGGACGAGAGAGAACCCTAACTAGATGCAAATTTTGTTCGTGAGAAGACAGTTGAAAAATGTAGAATCCAGACGTCCAATGGAAACATACATCGTACGTGTTTGAGGAGTTACCTACAATATGTCTTTATAATACTTATCCACATTTGTGAGACATTTAACTCATCACATGTTAAGTAAAATATGCCCTACGTGAAAAAATTCTATGCTTTGTCGGCCACCATCTAATTGACTTACATACATCCAACCATTATTTGGAGGGAAAAAATATGCCAGAGAAAGTTCCAAATTTACCGCATGCACATGTTATGAGGAATGATTATGTCCCGCTGGCATGTCTTTATGTTCTAGCAATCACTAGTAAAAAGATGACCAGCCCCAACGGGTGTATACAACCGTTGGGGCTGGTTTATAAGCCCCAACGGGTTAAACCGTTGAGGCAAAGTGGATTTGCCAAAAAACCAACAGAGGGAAATTTCCCCCCATTCTTTTTCGCCAAAAAAAAAGAAAAAATGAACG